CAAATAATTATGTGATGGGGTAGGATAATACTGTTTTGGATATCCTTACAGTTTAGGGTTGTATACCCAAAGGTAACAACACTATTCCACCAGGATAGTATCAGTCCTCCATAAATATTCTTGAGTGAACACTAGATATATCAATATTTCACCCAAAGGTGTAATATAGATGATATCAATAGTTCATCAATTTTTGACAAACTCAAAGTATTAATGTTATTATATATTTTTGCAGTGGTACTTTCGCATATACATTCATATGCTTCTAGTGTCCCTGTACTCTCTGGATCAAATTATTTAGAATGGTTAGAGTATGTGCAATTCACACTGGGTGTATTAGATCATGATTTAGCATTACTTATTGAAAAGCCTACAGACTTGACTGATGAAAGTACTGTAGAACAAGTTAATGAAATGAAGGCTTGGGAAAGATCTGATAGACTTAGTTTAATGTTCATAAGAATGACAATTGCAAATAACATAAAGACTTCATTACTGATTGCAACTAGCGCAAAGGAATATTTAAAGGTTATTGAAGACAGATTTAAATCTGCTGATAAGTCATTGGCTGACACATTAATGAAAGAATCGACTACGGTTTAGTATGATGGCACTCGAGGAATTCAGGATCACATCCTCAATATGGTTGACAAAGCTGCAAAACTTAAAACATTAGGCATGAATGTTGATGAATCTTTTCTCATGCAATTTATTCTCAATTCTCTTCCTTCTCAGTTTGGCCCATTCAAGATTCATTACAATACAAATAAGGATAAGTGAGACTTGAATGAGTTGACTAGCATGTGTGTTCAGGAAGAATTGAGATTAAGGCAGGAAAGTTCATATAATGTCATGACTACTACTCAAGGAGCTGGTAATAAGAAAAGAAAGTTGAAGCATTATCAATCAAAGAAATTTGTCGGGTCTGGAAATGTTAAACGGACTAATGAAAAGAAAGCCTTTACTGTAAAGTGCTTCTTTTGTGGCAAGAAAAGACATGTGAAGAAGGATTGCATTAAACGCAAGACTTAGTTAAAAAAGAAAGGTATTAACTCGACCTTTGTATGTTTCGAATCAAACATTACAAAAGTTCCTTCTAACATTTGGTGGATTGATTCTAGTACTTCAACTCATGTTACAAATAATATGCAGGGATTTCTTTCAATTCGGAAACCAAAAGAACATGAAAGATTCATCATTATGGGAAATCGTCTTAAAGCGAAAGTGATATCAATGGGAACTTATCGTCTACGCTTAGAGACGGGTCACTTGATGGATCTTGTTGACACATGTTATGTCCCTACAATTTCTAGAAATTTAGTTTCTCTTTCTAGAATTGATGAGTTAGGATATTGTCTTTCTTTTGGTAGTGTCAAACTCAGCATGTTTTATGATTCAATAAAAGTTGGTTCTGGAATTCTGTGTGATGGTTTATACAGAATTAATTTAGATCTTGAGTTTGCAAAGACATTAATGACCCTGCAATAAGTGTTGGATTGAAACATAGTTTCAATAATGAAAGATTTTCTATATTGTGGTATAGATGATTGGGGTATATCTTCAAGGAAAGAATTGAAAGATTAGTGAAGGATAATATTTTGAAACATTTAGACTTCACTGATTTTGATATTTGTATAGATTGCATTAAGGGAAAGCAAACTAAACATATAAAGAAAAATGCCACAAGAAGTAAAGAACTCCTTGAGATTATTCATACTAATATCTGCGGACCACTTCATATTCCTTGTTTTAGTGGAGAAAAATATTTTATCACATTTACTGATGATCTGTCCAGATATGACTATGTTTATCTAATACATAAAAAGTCTCAAGCCGTTGATACTCTTGAAGTATACATAAATGAGGTTGAGAGATAATTAGATAGAAAAGTTAAAATTATCAGATCTGACAGAGGTGATGAATTTTATGGCAGATATGCTGGATCTTGTTAGAATATTGGTCCTTTTGCTAGATTCCTAGAACAACGGGGTATTTATGCTCAATATGCATTACCAGGTGTGCCACAACAGAACGGTGTTGCTGAAAGGCGAAATCATACTATGATGGATATGGTTAGGAGCATGATGAGTTATTCCTCTGTACTTGAGTCGATGTGGGGTGAAGCTCTTAGGACAGCTATGTACATCTTGAACAGGGTTCCTAGTAAGTCAGTTTCATCGATTCCATTTGAGTTATGGACTGGTAGGAAGCCAGTTTGAGACATTTACATATTTAGGGATGTCCTACAGAGATAAGAGTATCCAATTCACATGAAAAGAAATTGGATCTAAGAACTATTTCAGGATATTTTATTGGTTATCCAGAAAAATCCAAGGGATACAGATTTTATTGCCCTAATCATAGTATGAGAATAGTAGAATCTAGTAATGCAAAATTCTTAGAAAATTACGAAATCAGTGGGAGTGAAAAATCTCGAAGGATTAATTTTGATTTCGAGGAGATTCAGGTTAATTCTCCCATATCATCCCTTATTCGAGAAATTGTTGTTCCTCAAATCAATGAGAGTATTGATGAGGGTGAACAACAAAATAACATCGAAGAACTCTCACATGATGTTGATGTCACCGCTGATGATTTTGTAGAACAATCACAATTGGCAGATTTGAGAAGATCTCAAAGGAAAAGGAAACATGCCATTTCTGATGAATATGTGGTATATCTACAAGAATCAGATTATGATATAGGAATAAAAAGAGACCCCTTATCGTTTTCACAAGCCAAAGTAACGATTCTGAAAAATGGTATGATGCAATGAAAGAAGAGTTAAAATCAATGGTCCAGAATGGTGTCTGAGATCTCATTGAATTGCCCAATTATTGTAAAAGAGTCAGTTGTAAATGGGTCTTTAAGACAAAAACGTGACTTAACGGGCAATATCGAACGATATAAAGCCAGACTTATGGCTAAAGGTTTTTATCAGAAGGAAGGCATCGACTATAATGAGACTTTTTTCCAGTTTCAAGAAAGGACTCATTAAGAATCGTCATGACATTAGTAGCTTATTATGATCTTGAGTTGCATCATATGGACGTGAAAACAACATTTCTGAATAGGGATCTGGATAAGAAAATCTATATGGAACAACCTGAAGGATTTATTGAAAAGGAAAAAGAAAATTGGGCTTGTAAACTTAAGAAATCTATTTATGGCCTTAAACAAGCTTCCAGACAATGGTATATAAAATTTCATAATACCATTACTTCTTTCGGATTTAAGGAAAACAATGTTGATCAGTGTATATACCTGAAGGTAAGTGGGAGCAAGTTTATTATATTGGTCTTATATGTGGATGATATTTTACTTGTCAGTAGTAATCTTGGTTCATTGCACGAAACCAAGATATTTCTCAACAAGAACTTTAAGATGGTTGATATGAATAAGGCAACCTATGTTATTGGAGATATTCAGGGATAGATCTAAAGGATTATTAGGATTGTCTCAGAAATGATATATTGATCGTATCTTGGAGAGATTTAATATACAGCTTTGCTCAGTCAATGATATACCTATTACTAAAGGTGAAAAATTCAGTCAAAACCAATGCCCAAGAAATGACTTAGAAAAGAATCAAATGTAGAATATTCCTTATGGGTGCACAGTTGGAAGTCTATTATATGCTCAAACTTGTACATGACCAGATATCAGTTTTGTAGTTGCACCAAAGCAACCCAAGAATGGAATATTGAAAAGCTGCAAAGAAAGTAATGAGATATCTGCAAGGGACGAAAGATTATATGCTCACATACAGGAGATCGGATCAGCTTGAAGTGATAGGATATTCAGATGCTGATTTTGCAAATTGCCTCGACAGTAGGAAGTCCACTTTAGGATTTGTATTTATGTTAGCTGGTGGGGCAATTTCTTGAAAAAGTATAAATCAATCGCTTATTGCATCATTAATAATGGAAGCTGAATTTGTGGCATGCTTTGAACCCACAAATCAAGCTTTATGGTTGCGAAATTTTATCTCAGGACTTGGTATGGTCGACTCAATTGTCAGGCCGCTGAAGATATTTTGTGATAACACCGTAGTAGTTTTCTTCTCTAAGAATAATAAGTACTTTAGTGGTTCTAAGCACATTGAGATAAAGTACTTGGTGGTTAGAGAAAGAGTCCAGAAACAATAAGTGTCAATTAAGAACTTGAGCACCACTATGATGAATGCTGATCAAGAACTTGAGCACCACTATGATGAATGCTGATCCATTGACAAAAGCCTTACAGTGTAAAATATTCAAAGAATATGTTCTTAGAATGGGGCTTGTGAGTAAGTCATAAAGGGTATGGTGATACATGTTTATGTGGATGTTATTATTGATATTCTTCTTGCTTAATTAAAATTATCTGTTTATGCTATTATGTTTACATTTATGTTTATGCATATTATGGTTGAATGTAATAACAGGATTCTCTTGACAAGACAAATTACAGGGGTTATTATGGACTATATTAGGAAAGACTAATAATGTTGTGGTACATAGAAGAGAGTATGACATTGATGAAATACAACCGCTATGACTCGCATTGATAGTTGGACTTAATATAGTATTATTGTGTTTTTTGGATTTATTTACTTATTTTAAAAAACATGGCCATGTATAAAATGCTTTTTAAAAAAATTCTTTGGAATCCAATTAGGTAAAATTGTTTTCAAACAAATTTTGTTTTGTTTATTTTGATTTTGAATATCTCTTTTATATCTTATCAATTAATGGACCAAGTGGGAGAATGTTAGGTTTTTGTGATCCTTTTATAACTGGATAAGATATATAATATAATTAATTGGGTTTCGTTGAAATAAATCATATCTATGCACTTGATTTCAATCCTGGCATATAGGTTATTTTCGCATTTCAGATATAGCATAATTACATATTTTTATGCTCACAATTACATGCACTATCTTTTTTCTTTCGTTCTCGGTTACCCTTCTTTTATTTCTTTGGAATTTGGCGTTTTCCTCTGGCTCGGCTTCTTAGGCTTTGGTCGAGATCCTGCTGGGGTTAGCTTTATCCATACATCCTGATTCTGAAGAAAATAGGTACTTGCATTTCTATAAATTTAATTGATTACTTCCTCACGTTTCAGTTTTAAAATTTGCTTTAGATATAATCCAGTCCAGTATAGTTTAGCCAGCTTATGCAGATTGTGCTCATTGTTGTTGCCAGATCTCACATATTTGCTTCATTTCTTTAATTATCAGCTAACGTTAGTCTGCTAGGTATCTGAACTGCAATTAGTTCAATCTATGCCTTGACAATCTAGACTTTGCTTTATCTGAACAATAACATGGACTTTAGATCAAACTTGATGCCAAAGCAGAAATATGGTATTCCTGGATTCAAGTGGGATGGAACTAGGAAAATGTTCTCTGTGATACCTAAGACGCTAAAAACATGAAGTTTAATGTTCTCTAGTATGTTTGTTGGAGACAGCTAAAGGTGTTCGAACAATGAAGCTAGATGATGAGACATTAATATGTATAGAACATCTGTATTTTGCAAGTGTTTAGGTTTTATGCATGACCATAAAGCTTTAGCTGAAGGTGCTTGGTTCTTAATTCACATAATTAGAAATTTCTTTGGATATAGTAGTTTGGTTGGCTAAGGGCATCTATTTTTGCAACATACTGATAGCATAGAAGCTGTGTGGTCAGGTGGCTACTTCTTCAAGTATAATTCTTGTTATTTCAGGTCCAATCACCCAGACCATAGGAGATGACAACTTTGTGGAAAGTCATGTTTTCTATTTTATTTTTTGACTAAGAAACATTACTGGAGTTAAAGTTGCTCATACTTGCATTTGTTGTATTCTTGAATGGTGATTTGGTTAAACCAAAAGTTCCTCTTAAACGAAAAATGAATAGAGAAGCATAAGGTAAAATGAGCTCCATGCATGTAGGTTATGGATCTCGATTGCTGTAGATGAAGATTAGTAATGGAGATAAGATTGCTATACAACCATCAGTGTTTTATGATTTCTTTCAACATCACCGTGGGAAGGATTTCATGATAATTGAACCTCTAGATATTTTTGTTGGCTTCCCTTCTTCGAAGTCCATGTTTCTTGCATGTTTAGCTAGAATCCTAGATAATATTCGGCTTTGGCTTACATTGACTTATTAGAGGAAGATGACTTTGACCAGAAGAAGCGAAGAACATAAAAGGTAACATGAGTTGAGTAACTTGTATGGAGCGACCTTTTGCCAACATGACCGACATTTTTAAGTCGAAGCTACTATCAATGCAACATCTAATCATATACACAGGATATGAATTTCCTAATTCTGGAAGTAAAATTGCTGAGATTTTTTTATTCACACCAACTGGTGTCCTCCCTGATGTCATAGTTAAACAGGATACTGTCTGTTCATCTAAAATCTGTTTGTACCATCTTAAGTGATAGCCCATATGGAAGTGGTACAGAATTACTCTAACATCATCTGCTATGGCTGGAATAATCCATTGGCTCAATTAATTGAACTGTGCGATCTATTAGGAGTTGCATTCAGCAATTTCTAGGTAGAAAGAATGGTGAAATTGGAGTATTGGTTATACATTTAGAAAAGTGACGACGGAATACTAGGTGAGAGATGGTCTACGCAAGTTGGAAAATGTATTTAGAGTGGAGGGTGATATAAGAAGGGAAAGAATCAGATGGAAAGAGACCAAACCAGCTTTCAGTTGCATAGGAGAAAGAGACGTTTATGAGACTTGGGGGGCATATATTGGAGTTAGGGGTTGAGCAGAAAAGAAAGATAGGAGTCAATGCATATAATAAGTGAGATGTCAGGATCAGAGATAAGATGATACTTTAGGATTGCGGTAACAGGACTTTTAGGGTTAAGAGGATCTTTTTTTCTCTTTTTGTGATTAAGGAAGTTAATACAGTTGATACTTCTTATGTTTAGTTTGTAGAGGTCATCAGTGACATGACATCTATTCCTTTCGATGGTGTCCATCTTCATATGGTTTATTATGCATACGTGAAATGCAAGATTTTCTCCTTGCCAGCCAACCATTATTTCATGATTTTCACTTATCGTGGCAAAGCGATCCCACTCAACGCAGCACTTAAGTTGGAGAAATAGGAATCTGATGCCAGTTCAGCCTGATCAAATTACACCCTGTAGTTTTCTTCACAAAACATGTAGTGGAAGTTGATTATTTTCATGTTTTCCTCATCTCTCGTAGTTTTGTAATTTTTTAAAGTCATTTTTGCCAATCAAACATATATGGTTTGGACGTCTCTTATTTGTCTCATCCGACGGTGACCAGTGCTAAGACATCGAGTATTATGAGTAGGAAACCATACGGATTAGTACTATAAAGAATACATCACACTTAGTACATTAGATAGAGATAAACAAGCCCACAACTAGGACTCTAGGAAGACAACCACAAGTAGAACTCTAGTACGTTAGTGCTAAGACATCCGAGTATTATGAGTGGGGAACCGAAGGATTAGTACTAAAGAATATATCACACTTAGTACATTAGATAGAGATTAACAAGCTCGCAAGTAGAACTCTAGGAAGACAACCTGAAACATGATACCTAGTACTACACCACGAAACGAAGCGAGAAGCTTCAAGACATGCACCCTTTTTTGAATCACATGATCATGGCCTTGTGCCTTGACGGCCTCTAAGACCAGCAGCAGCAGGTGTCCCGGGAATGCTACCAATGATGGGAATGGTGCCTAAGCCAGGGGTCCCAAAGCTGAAATGTGGACCCAAGGGGTTGCCATAGAAGCCACCGTAACCGAAGAAGTTCTGAGGTTTGTAAGCCTTGGCCTTGCTTGGGATGCTTCTTCCTCCTTCAAGGCACACCACATAGGTGGCCAGGAGCAGAGCATGGAGGAGCAGCACCACCTTAGTAGACCTCTCCATGGCCCTTCTTCCTCACACCAGATATATTACGGAAGCAGTGGAGGGTGATGAGCCACAACCCAATTTATAGCAAGGGATACAGAGAGACACTTATTAAGTGAAGTAAATGAAGAGCAGATAGAGCTTTGAAAGAGCTGTGTGTTACCAGGCCTTTGCCATGTGATCCCCCTTCAATTACTTCCCATTTATGAGCAGCAGCGGAGTCCAAGCTCTGTTCTGGATTCTTTTGACCGTGATGTCTGAGTGTCAAATTCATGGCTCCGCAGAGGAGCGTGTGGATTGGGGGTCGATTTCTATTGATATGGGACTACTGGAAGGTAGCAGAGAACCCATGTGAACGAGTTGGTGCAATTAAAATTCCTGGCCATCATTTCTGAACTCTCAACTAAATGCTCTCTGTACATGCAGATACCACCTACCTGGCAACACAGTGGAAATTATGTTAGGCTCCAAAATCTAAGTTGGTTAACTTCTTATCAGCTTACCATTTTCAGGGTCAACCGTAATAATCAAGCTAAATCCTAGTGTTATGATATCAGAACACCACTTTGCTTTCTTCGTTCTAGTATTTTTTTTTTTTGTATCATTCATTCATGCTTGAAAACCCTGTGAAGATGGACTGCTGCTGCAAGACCCGCTGCTTCATTCTCTCCACCATCTTGGTAGATCTCAAGCAATTAGAGAACCTTGCCTAGGCTTTCAAAAGCTGGCAGTGAGAAGAAGTGCACTTTTAGTCCAGAGCTGAAGGTTTACCCTGGTTGAAGAGGAAATGAGAGATCAGATCAAGCAGTTGTGCACTCCTGCTGTAGCCAGGATGATGGGTAAGACTTGGGCTCACAGAAAACAACGCATCTGTGAAAGGTAGCTCGCAGTAGGACATTAAACAGCAGAAGAAATTATCAACACAGCAGCATGGATTAAATCCAACTTCTCTCTAATTCCTGCATCTCCATGCTTTGAGCACCAAAAATCCCTCTGACCTCAGTCTGGAACAAATCAAGTCATACAGTTCAACTGAGATGATCAAGTCACAACTGAAGTAATTGCCTTCCAATTCTTGCCAATAAGATGGCAATTATATGACGGGGTAGCCCAATTATTATTATCAAGTCCAATCTTGATTCAGGAGTTCGAGTGTGGCCAAACAAATTAATCTTCTTCTATCTTCTTGGTGGACCAAATCTTACAACCACTTCCAACTTTATCATCTCATTTGGAGATTGTACAAAGTTGAGTGGAATCAAACCCAATCTTCATCATGGAAAAGAAGAATGGAAACTTATCGGACTCCTCTTTTGTACCACTTGAGAAAGACATCACCTTACCTCTTTTTTGTTTTTTTTTTGTCACCTTATATCTTCTTACCCACGTAAAGAGTAATATTGAATTGGATAAATGATTCAAGCAGAGAATTATGCATTGAGATAGAGTTTACTCTGTCTTTTTACAGATCAACGTTGCCTTCTTCAGTCCAATTCAAAATGCATATATGAGACAAAACTTAGTTGCAGTTTAAATGCATCAATTATTTCCATTCAGCATGTAGTTTTTCAGATATGAAATCAAATCAGAAAACTAAGAGGCATGTGCAGATAAGATAGTCTACGAGTTTGAAAGATTTTATCTGACAAGTTCTATACACATTTTGTTCAAGCTTTTTCTCAAGATAGTGCATTTCCATCTGCATTATCACGAAGAAAACAGAACAAGAGAACTATGGATCACTGAAAATTCTTCGTGTCAGAAAAGAAATAAGCACTAAGGCCAATAGGAGGGAAGACTTTGGCTGTTGCCATCCAAGCAATCTTCACCTTCAACCTGAAACTTGCTGTGGCAGTTAATCTCAGCATTCTTCCCCATACTGCATCCAGTTGGTGTTCCTACATCACTCTCTGCCTGCGAGAGGGTGTGCTGCATGAAACCACCATATTGAACCATGGAGATCGTATCAGATAGTGGCACCATATGACTCAGGTTGACATCCGAAGTCGCAGATGACAGAAGAGAGAGAGCACAATCGAACATCCTGCTGCCGCTGCTCCTGCCATCGTAGGGAGTGACTGCACAAAGATTCAGCTGACTTTGAGTGGCTTTGTTCCCAGTTTCACCATCCTGAATGATATGCAGCTGCTTTCTCTCTCCGCCAAAGCTGTAAGAGATGGAAAAGTTATGGTGGCTGATGAGTTGTGGAGGAGTTCTCTTCTCAGTTCTTGTCACATCTCCAGCCCAGTTTGACTCTGCTGCAGTTGTTGGATATACCAGAGGGTATGTAGAAACCCCTGTCACCGTGCATGAGAAAGAAATGGTTAGTGCCATAATACATGTACAAAGTGTGATGTGGTACACAACCCAGAAGAGAACAGCTACAGCAATGTCAATCAAAGAGGTAAACAGAGTTGCACGACGCAAGCTGATCGAAATAAAGCGTCCGAAGTGCTTCACTTCCAACAAAAGGTACCTCCTTGGCGATCTGAGAACAATCTTCCCGAGTTTGTAGAATCTGGTTGGGACTTCCTTCGACGCTTGTTATGCCCATCAAGGCGTCTCCTACAGCTTCGCTTTACCTCATCGAATTCTTGTAGCAGATGAAACCTACAGAGAAAGGAAGAAGGGAAGAATGCTGAGCTTCTTCTTTGGGAAGAGAGAGACAAAGTAGAGGAATTCCAAGAACAATTGAGCTTTGGTGGTTAGTCCTAAACATCAAGAGAGGAGCTGTGGCACAACCGAAGGGAATACAACATCTCTGCTCTGTTACCTGCTGCATTGCTGGCAGAAGCGCTGCTCCTGACCGCGGACCACCACCACCGGCGTCTTGGAGTGCGCCTCGCAGACCTTATGACGCCGGTGATACTCCCTGCACTTACTAAGATCTGCCGTGCACCCATCGACCGAGCACGACGCGCCATTTGCCGGCGATCGCGATCGCGCTCGCGCCCTCTTCGTTGGACCAGATGGAGACGCCGCCGCCGTCGTCGTCGATGCAGCAGCTTGGTCGTTCGACTTGTCTGGCAACCCGAAGCAACCGCTGTTCGACCCGCCCGCCGCCGAGCCTACGCTCAGTTCGGCGTCCCGGCCCAGTTCTTCCGGGTTCCATGGAGGTATCTTGAGGTGCCAATCCATGAGATCGAGCAACCTCTCAAAAGCTTGTGCCTCTCCTGTCTGTCTTTTAGTTGAATCTTGCTTGATCTTCTCACCGGTTCATCTCTGGACCTCCTTCTCAACAGATGCCACCACGGAGTGGAGCGAGCAAGGAAACCAGAACCATGGTTCCGAGAAATCAACAAGGGAGCGAGCTGAGGAAAGATCGATGGGGGAACCAACTTAGCAAACAGCCAGAGAAAGCTCATGCAAAGAAAGAAGATCCAACAACAGCGTCAAGAAACCAGCTTGAAAGTGCATGACAAGAATCAACGAGTAGCTAACATGGCATCCATATCAGACCATGGAAACCATCGAGCACAACAACCCAAAGAGGGAGGAGATGACCGAGGTTAGTAGGGTACGTACGTGCACAGGGAGGCAACAGCAGCCCGGGGAGACTGATCATGCAACGCCTGACATGGATTCCAAAGACAACAACGACTATGAAGGGGGGGAAGTCCTGTTGCTGCTCCTGTTCACCTTATCATGCACCTCCGCGGGGGAGCAGGCAAGCATGTGAGTTGGTGGCGTATAGGTGATGGGCTTGAGGTAACAATTATTGGAAGGGGAAGGGGTAAACAGTCACCCTCGGTGTTGAATGAGCCCATGTTCTCTCCTTGCATGAGTTGGCAAAACACTTGAGGCCTACGCGTCATTGGATATGTGCCGAACTACGTTCTTATCCTTTGTCCAACACTGGTTCTCTATGATTAAAGCTCGAGCAATGTGCCTTGCGAGGGAAGTGTGCCGAAGGACATCTGCAGCTCCCCCACCTACCCCCACGATAGATAGAGGAAGCGTGAGGAAGATGGAAGCGGATCAGTGGAGTACTAACTCCCTATCGTCTGCTTGCATCAAACATGCTCGTTTCTCCGTCGAGGCATTTTTGTGGTGGTGTATTTAGATATTCGAGTGACTTATACGTGGTTTAATGGAATGGAAATTTGGAATCGAGCATTTTTGTATGGTGTTTAATATAATAATAATAATTAATGAAGAAAAATGCATGCTCGCTTTCTTCTAAGGATCGGAAGCTAATTCTTTGGCATCGAATCGAGATTAGTTTGTGTTGGAAATTAATGTCGGTGTCGGCATCACTCAAAAACATTGGAGACAATCAGTTCACTGCCGTCGTTCGACGACGACATGATCATATCATATGAGCCACAAACGATCCATGCTGATGAAACACATATGCAACGATTCATGCTTTTTTCTCTCTTCCCAAACTTCAAAAGATCTACTAATTTACTCAGCTAATTTACTCAGCTGCCCAAAAAATAAAAAAATAAAATAAAAAGGAAAAAAAGACAGCTACTACGTGAGGTGTTCCTCTTCCATGATTGTGTCAGCCAGTTTGCAATCATGCATATTATATTTTCACAGCATCATAAAAACTTAATCTTTACAGCAATTATTCTCCTCTCTATAAAATATATTATATTTTCACAATAACCAACCAAATGATCGACTAAAGGTCTTAATATAAGAAGATAGTAGTAACCATGAACCACATCGTACATCTATCTCAATATTTTCATTTCAGTATTAGAATTCTCTGGCCTTTGGCTTGTGGGTTTCGTGGTCAGATGAAGTTCCCGTCACTAACACCAGATGGTCCCTGAAACTCATGTTCTATCTTAGCATGCTGAGTCATGGAGGACAAGAGAAAGCGAGACAAACACAGATGTGGCATCTTTGTGTTGGGTGTAGTTTGAACCACAAGACTTCAAGCAACAGGACCACAACCACTGAGATGAAGAACTCGATACAGAAACATATGTGTAGCTCGTACCAGAAACTTCCACAATCAGGAATCATATCATGTTTGTGTTCCCAATCTGTGTGCTGGATGCTATTGGCACTTTAGCACGAAGTAAACAACTGATGTAGCCTTCAGGATAAGATAGAGTTGGTGCTAATACTACAACTGCTCTGAGACAAAATGAGCGATTCGGACTCAAATGATTTTGATGATGATGTGGTTTGTTTGATAAGGTTTAGCACTGTGCTGACTCTACACACTTGATGATGATGATGGGAAATAGGCGCCTTTTTTATTTTCAGGGGACCATCTTAATATTTATTAGACTAGTGAGAATCATTTCAACACCTTCATCGTGTTATCATATTAATTAAAAGTGAAATATTAACCTATCGGATTTCAAGATTTAAGAAGTTCAACGAATAAAACTAAGAAAAACTAAATACAAATAATATTTTTCTTGAGCTAATCTAAATTCGAATCAGAAACCATTATATATCTTTTCACGTACACCTCAGAGTATCCTCTATTCAATCATGTTTCGGATATATCAGAGAAAATTCTTTTCCAATATCAATCAATATTGGTACGATACTAACTCTTGATTGGATCGTTAACTATATGAGCTCATAAAGGACTCTATACTAACACTCTAATGAAATTTAAAATTATATAGTACGATATCGATTCTTGATTGGATCGTTAACTATCTGAGCTCAAAAAGGACTATACTAATACTTCAATATAATTTAAAATCATATGATATTGGATCATTAACTATTTAAGCTCATAGAGGACTATAATAACACTTCAATAAAATTTCAAATCATATGGTATGATACCGGTTCTTGATTGGATCGTTAATTATATGAGCCCATAGAGGACTATACTAACACTTCAATAAAATTTAAAATCATCTAGTATGATACCGGTTCTTGATTAGATCGTTCACTATATGAGGATTATAATAATACTTCAATAAAATTTAAA